TGATCCACAGACCCCTCCCTGATCCACAGACCCCTCCCTGATCCACAGACCCCTCCCTGATCCACAGACCCCTCCCTGACCCACAGACCCCTCCCCGACAAGAACAGCAGGACAGCAAAAGTCACGCTTTGGATACACGCGCAGGGCGCATCCACCTCGCCAGTGTGGATGTTATAAAACTTCACGTTTAAAGTCTGTGTTTGTCACGTGCGCGCGCGGGAAGGGATGCGTGCATGTGTGTGTGTGTGTGCGCGGGGCGGGTGTCTGCCGTGGAAAACAGAGCAGGCAGGAGGGGGAGAGGACTAGGAGAAGAGTGGTGGACTTATTTCTAATTTTATCTGACTTATTTAATTTAATTTTTATTGTTTTTATCGTCCTACAGGCTCTGAGGGAAAATTAATTTGAAGCTGAGTATTTTTTTATAAAAATCCTTAGATTACTCTAAATCAAAATGGGGGAAAATCTGTGTCAGTTACAGACATTCTGTTCACGTGAGCAGCTGTCAGTCAGCAYCTGTCAACCTCCAGACGCACGACGGAGCGTGTCTGAACCAATCACTTTTGTTGGCATTGATCAGCTGACTGATTTAAATACATCTTAACATTCATGAGATACTTTACATTGACTGTTTATGGTTGAGTGTGGGCGTGTAGAGGGTAGAACCTGAGGCGGGACCTCGTGCGCAAACTCTGACGTACGGCTGTGATTTATAAAAGAAAAATGCGCAGAAATGTGCGTACGCACGGTTTTATAAATCTGAATTTTTTTTGGYGTATGCCATTTCCGCCTTTTGGCCGTACGTTCACTTTTAGTATGGTTTCCACGCAATCCTTTATAAATGAGACCCCTGGAAAGTGATTATAAAAATGCTGGTTCAATAAATTTGTTTAAGAAAATGATAAAAGTTAGATTGTTGAAGAAATTTGAATTTGTATAATGTGCATTCATAAAAACTGTTTGAGAAGGAGTTTAAGTTTTTTGTTATGTTTTGTTATTTGAAGATTATTATTGTTTAAATGTATTTATTTATATTTTTTATTTTTATTTTTGGAAAAAAGGGGAAGATTAATAATTTTTTCTTCTTTCTGATACCTTTCATTTTATTGGTGATTTGTATTATTTGTTGTATGTATAGTATTTGTTTTGTTTTTAAATGAAAATGAATCAATTTAGTAAAAAACAAACAAAAAACAAAAACAAAACTAGAATAAACATGCACAGAAATAATTTTAAGCAAGAACCTTTAAACAGAACTTTACCTGTTCCATGTTGTCCAGCTCCTGGTACGCTCCAATGTAGCGCAGAGCTCTGGCTATCACGTCCTACCAAAACAGCAGAAACTTGTGATGCAGAACAGTTTGACAGATTATTTTGAGTCATATGAGTGATGCTGGACCTCACCTTGACAGCAGGCACAGGTTTTTTAGGCTTGTTGACCCGGTCAATGTTTGTTTCTGACRCATTGGTTTCACCTGCATCTCTGAGTTGTTTCTTGTACTTTGCAATGGCGTTAGTCTTCTCTCGAAGGTACGGACCAAAACTAGGGAGGCTCTACAAATATGCAAGCACAAAGAATAAATAAAAACGAGTCTCACAACATATAAAAGACAGCACTTATGTTAAACTGCAATAAATAACTTTTTTCTTCAGGATGCAACAGCCAATCAAATTGGCAGAGACTTCTATCAACAACARCAATCTCTCTATCCCAAAATTTATCTTTAGAGCAATCATTAAACTGTACCTCCCCAACCAGATCTCCCAGTTTGGGGACTAGTTTTCCTCTTTGATGTTTTTCAGTCGGAGGGGACTGACCATCCCAGTCTTCCAGCTCCAGGCTCTTCAGATATAATAAGGCCTTCAGACCTAAATATAAACTCGTATTGACCAAAGTACAGTCTGAAGATCTTAGAGAAGTGCAAAATAAAGGACAGCTCCATACCAATACAGTAATCCTCAATCAGTGTGAAGTCCTGGTTCTGAACTGCACTACACACCTGTCGTAACCAGACAGAAAGGTGTTTATGAACAAATGAACTCTTAGTGTTCTCTAAATTTATATAGAATTGTCACCGATCATTGCTCCAGTGTGTAAAAAGTTGTCTCACAGAAACACAATGTGCAACTTGATTACAAAGTTAATCACTGTAAGAAGTCTATTGCATTTTTTTTTTATGATGGGATGGATTCAGATGCAGTTTTTCAAAAGTTTATGATTTGCAGTGACTTGAGCAAACAAACTCATATAGCTACACATTTAGTTAACGTGTGAATCAATCTCTCAGCAGGTCCAATAACCTGTAACACAGAGGCCCCAGCATGTAGAAACTGCAGTCCACTCTCTGCTGAGTCGATGCCGCCGGTAGCCAGGATGGGAAAACCAGGGATGGCTTTGGCGATGGCTGAGACCGCTTTGAGAGCGATGGGTCTGATGGCGTTCCCTGCACATCACATTTCTTTTTATTACACATATTGCACTCTGAGTGTGAATGAACTCTACCCTACACAGGCAGACAGTGGAGGGAAGCCAGAGTGGAGGTGAGCAGCAGCATTCTGGTTTACATACCAGACACCCCTCCATATGTGGTGCGTTTGTTCCCACCAACGCTCGGCCAGGGGGAGCCGTCGGCCTTCAGACCCATCAGACCTGACACTGTGTTGGTRGCCGTGACTCCATCTGCTCCTCCTGTTACATTTACACCAACAACATCATCAGATTGTTATAATTTCACATTAAATTTATTCAGCAAATAGAAGATCCTCACCTTCATGGGCAGCTTTGGCAATGTCGACAATGTTGGTGACGTTTGGAGTCAGTTTGGCGAAGAATGGGATGGAAACGGCGGCACGCACCCACCGACATATGTTACGCACCAACACTGGGTCCTGATGATGCAACAAAACACTCATGAGTACACATGTATGTTTCACCTGTGTGTGATACTTTTCTGTTAAATAAGACGGAACAATGTTTTGGTAAATAAATCATTGAAAAAAAGAATAAAATGAAATAGTTTCAGTGTTGTGTGTACCTGTCCACAGGCCAGCCCCATCCCTCTTTCTCCCATCCCGTGAGGRCAGGACAAGTTCAGCTCCAACGCATCTGCTCCCGACTCCTAAACACATGTTTTCATCTTTACCTGCATTAACAACATCACCAATAAYACACTGATCTGGGGTTTGTCTCACCTCAGCCATCTTGGCCAGCTCTGTCCAGTCATCTTTGTTGTAACCACACATTATACTGGAGATCACCACCTGACAGAAGCAAAGAAATGCTCTATTTGAAACATTTTAAATGTCAASCATGCACAAAAATGTGTTTTAAACAGATAAGTTGTACCTTCTACCATCTACACTTAAAAAGGAACATTTGAAAAGTYTAAAGAACCAAATGCAACTCATTATTTACATTGTTGGGAAAGTCCTTCTTCAGCTCGGTGACCGACTGACACCARTAGGCCGCTGTCTTCTCACTGATGAGCTCAATGTTGAGGAAGGAGCCCTGACCAGGTCCGAACACAGGACCTGAGGTGGTACCTCGCACAATCCGAGGAGACACATTGGTCACCAGGTCCTACAGAAACACACGTAGAGTTCTGACTTTACTTAGAACTTGTGTATGCCAGGAGGAACCTTCACATGGTTTGACCGAACCTTATTCAGTCCAAATGTTTTGGTCAGAGCGAAGCCCCAGCCCTGCTCAAAAGCTCTTCTGATCATGGCTGTGCTGGTGGTGGGAGGAGCYGAGGCCAGACCGAACGGGTTGGGGAACTTAATGCCGCAGACCTCAACRCTGATGTCCACCTGATCTATGGCGCTGTAGAACAAAGGCAGCTTCGGGGTTGAGTCCACTGTGTGCCCATGTAAAGACTAGAAAAATTACAAACATGTTTTTACAAAATATWAATGTACTTTCTGGAATATACAAAAAGAATGTGTCCAGGTGTACCTGCAGGTATCTGTGAATGTGCCATGAGGCCTGTTTGCCATCATTTACTGACTCCACTGTAGTGTTTGCCAAACCAGCAACGTCTCCCCCTGCAAACACCCAGGACTCGCTGGTCTGCATGGTTTCTGTGTTCACCTCAGGAGTGCCCCAGCGGGTCAGCTTGACCGGAGCCATAGCTTCAATCACTACAAAATCACACGTGCATAAAACAGAGTGATTTATTTATTTGACAATAAAAACCAAAAAGTCTAAAAACAAACAGTTACTCTGCTGTTCGCTTACCTTGTGGGTCAYTCAACATGGACCCAAAAGCACTAATGATGAAATCAGCCTTCAGTCTAACWATCTGATCCTCATCTTCCAGCCAATCGCCTTCCTCGGTCTGCTCCGTCCGGCAGAATTGCAGCCCGGCAATCCTCCCGTTCTTCATGATGACCTCTCGAGGAGACAAGAAGGGAAGGAATTCACACTGCTCCTCTCTAGCCAGCTCCATCTGATGGAAAAATTAATGCATATTGATCATTTATCTGTTTACACACTGGATTTGTCCATCCGTCTCATCGTACCTCCTCAGGAACGGCCCTGATGTTGGTGAAACCTTTCCTGAAGCAGACGTACACCCTCTTGGCCCCGCAGCGGAGAGCAGAGGTGGCGCAGTCRAAGGCGGTGTCCCCGGCCCCCAGAACTATCACTACTCCCCTCAACTCTGGCAGGGACGATCGACACTGACACATAGCTGCAGAGAGCGAGATCAGCACAGAGCACAGGTGTTATCACATTCAGCTGATAGAGCTTAATGAAACTGTTTTCTTTTTCTCTCATTTGTGCCCAGTTTGTATTCATAGACTGAATTGTTTTTATTATATCATTATACTGTTATTTTATATTGTTTGGAATTTATTATGGACAGAAAAAAAAAGAAATTACATACAAAAATGTTTTAACTGCCTTCTAACAATGGCATAACATAAAAAATTGTAGCTTACCAATGTAAACCTTATCACTTTTTAAATTAAATAATAATTAGACTTTTATTTTTAACACCCACAAACAGGAAGTGTAAAAAGTTCAATAATGTCCCCAGCAAATACAATTGTGTGTTTGTGTGTATGGAACAATGATGAGGCTACAGTTTACTGAATAAAGATAGGAATTTGWTTTCACAATGCTGTCTTTTGTGATTGAAATTTACAGTTTAAATAGTTTGTTAACAGTTTTGGTGAAAATAACTGTCTGGGCTCAGTTTGTCAAATTAAACAAGGTGCTTTAGAAAAGTGTGTTTTGTGTAAAAAATGCTAAAAGAATGAATGGTGAGATTAGTCGCCTAAGCGAACCCTTTACAAGACACAACAGGCAGATGAATGTCTGTCCATGTGTTTTTTATCCTCTGTTCTGCCATCAGTACCTTTCTTGCTGGCAGAAGCCACCAGAGGCAGGAAGTCTTTTGAAGTGAAAAAGCCTTGATCCACAGTTAAATCGTGAAAAATCCGAGCTCTGTTGGCCTGAGGGAGACCTGGAGTAATGAGCAAACATAGAAATGAGCACCAAGTATAAAAATACACTGTGGTACAGACATGATTGACAGATTCAACCCACCAATCCCAATGAAGACAGCTTGAAATCCCTCCTTCTTCAGAGACAACAGAGTCATCCCATCAACGCCCAAACCTTTCTCACAAACCACCTGCACAAGACAGCAAACACAGTTTTAGGAAGTTTCAGGGGAATAACAACTTTTAGATCCTGTTTATTATTATGAGCGTTGTTAACACCTTGACTCCCAGGTCCTTCATCAGGCTGATTTCAAACTGGACAACCTCATGTGGAAGCCTAAACTGAGGGATTTCTGATGCGCTGCATGAAAAAAAAAACATTTATTTTCAACTTCATTGTTTTTTAAATTGTCTGCCATGAATATTAATTAAAAGAGTTTACCAGAGAAGCTTCCGATTGGCAAATAATGTTGCCAACTATTTATACAGTATTTATAAATTCAGCACATGGTCACCATTAAAAAATAATATACATAGCAGTGATGTTTGAAATGATGAGGAGAGGCTRGTACCTCAGCCCTCCAGTGTACTTCTGCTTCTCAAATATGGTGATGTTGTCGTATCCGAGGCGAGCCAGGAAAGAAGCACAGCTGATGGATGCAGGGCCACAGCCAATCAGAGCGATGGGGGCGTGGTATGGCTCTGGCATCTCATTGGCTGGAGGAAGTTCAGGATTCCTGATCTGAGGGATGCCCATCTTAYTAAACACCTGCAAAGAAACACATGGAATGTCAGGTTTTAAATTAAACTTAAAAAGAAAAGCTGGTGAGGAGGACTTAAGTTCAGGTAATGTGGTTTGTCTCTAAGTGCAAACAATGATTCAAGTGTCTTATAAATCAGTTAGTGGTGACCTGATAGCATCACAGCTATGTTTATTTTTATTTTTTAATCTGTGTTGCGTACCTCAGTAGCAAACTGCTGCAGCCCTCCAATGTTAATGGGCCCCTCTTCAGAGGCATATAGGTTACAGCCCCCGACACACAGCTCTGATGTGGGACAAACCATCCCACAGGTCAGTCCCAGAGGGTTGTCGGACAGAATGGCCCGTGCTGCTCCATAGTAGTTCTGTTAGGTGTAAACAGGACAGTGCAGCTTTGCTTTTGTTTTTCTTTACTTCATTGTCTCATGTCAAATAATAAAGTTATTGTTTTAGCAGATTAAAGGGAACGTGCTCTTTACTCTACCTTGTTGGCAATACTTGTAATGAAGGACTTGATGTCCAGGTTAGTCGGGCAGCTCTTCTGGCAGGGAGCGTCAGCACATTTTAGACACCTAAACAAAGATATTTATTTTACACTTTTCATATTGGCCGAGTTCAATAAAACATTAAATGCCTGAAGGATAACTGTTAACAAGTTAGTTTGTTCCACAGCTCGGTTCAATTTTAATGAATCAACAACAATAAATGGCGAAAGAAGCAAAAATAAATAATAAAAAAAAATACTGTCAGTCTTTAAAAAAACATTTTGGCTTATTAGAAGAAATGTACACATTAAAAAGTTGTTTGATTTGATAAACCAGAAGTTTTTAACTTGTCACACAATTTTCATTCAGTCATTAAATAAAGTCGTAAAATGCTTTAAAAGTCTTAGTGTTTTGTTTGTTTGTTAAAATGAGAATAAATATCTCTAAAGAAAACCCTCTCAACATTATTTATGATTTACCGTATAAATATAAATAAATACAATCACTCAGATTTACCTCAGTGCTTCTCTCAGAGCCCCTCGCTCACTCAGCGTCGTGTGCTTGATGTCGTCAAAGTTGTTCTCTAACTTTATACAGGACTGGGGAAAAAAAGAAACAGGAAACAAATAGAAAAAAATGCTGCTGAAGAAGCTAAAACTAAGTTGGCAAAGCTGAAACAAGCAAAACAAATGTTAAAATAAGCAAACCAGTAGTTTGAGCTATGCTGAATTGTGGCTGAAACCTGAATTTAGCAGAACAAAGGAGGAGCAAAAGTGCAAGAACAAAAGTGTGGAGCAGCTAAAAATAGCAAAATGATGAAAAGTAGCAAAATGATGGCTAAACCCTAAAATAAATAGAACAAGTATGATGAAGTTGATTTTGGAGGGTGAGGTTTTTAGAGGAATTGAAAATATCTAGATGCATTTGCTACAAAAATCCAAGTAATTGCACTTTGAGCAGGACATTTCAATATATGAAATGATTAAAACAGATTAAAACAGAACAAACAGAAAACACAATGAAAGGGAATCAATCATGTGACTACTTAATATTCACACACAATACAAACTAAGAAGAAATGTAACTTTGAAAACATTATTTGTGTCTTACATCACAGTTCCTTTCAGTGTTTCTCTTCCAGTGTTTCTTTTCTCTCTTCTTACTTGCCGTGGACACGACCTGAGAGTGAGTCTTCACCCTGGGATTAAGAGCCAAAATGCTCTAAAAAACAAAAGAACAAGAAAAGATGACACGTTTGTTGTGTGGAATAAACACAGCTACAGATTGTGAAAGCATACCAAGAAGCAGAACCAGTGGTTTTACTCAAAAACAACAACAACAAAAGTTTTATAAACAAAGCTTCTGAGCTGTAAACCAAGATGTTTTAACTTCTTCAACATCTGTAACTACAGAACACAATCCAGATGTTTTTTTTCCCCCAAAACATTCTTTAATTTGACGTCTTGGAAAATTGAGAATTTACACCATCACATTGTTTGTACCTTTTCATTAAGTCTAAAAAAATAACTATGATTAGAATACAGTTTTAATATTTGCACATTGTTTTTATTTACATATTTACCTTCTAAAAAGTGTTTTCTAAATCCAAAAACTATGATTTACAGGAAGCCTTTATCACATGAATTAACGTGACTGTTAGAACAATACAAATTTTGTGTTAAAGCGTGCTTTATGGTCTTATTAATTATTTAACCCCTTCATTGAAAACAATTCTTTTATTGAATGTAGCATTTGAACAAGTTACAGACACCAGAAATGCCATGTTTCACCATCTTCATTATTTATTTACTAAGATTACTTCACACGGTACATCCAATTTTACAGCCCCCCCCCCCCCCCCCCCCACACACACACACAGATCTGCTGTTAAAACACAAAAAACCTGGAAGATTCTTGGAAGTTCAGAACAAAGTGATAAGATAAAGCTGAGCTGCAGGTCGATGTGCTGCAGAGAAGTGACATGTGATAATGTCTAACATTAATGACAAACTGAAATTTTTCATTCCAGTTAGGAAAAATCTCAAAACTATGTAAATTTTAATTTGAGGTATAATCTGAATATTAAATCCCAACTGGCTTTAGGTCATAACTTGATGATCCCAACATGATTTGAATGTTAAAGTTAGGCCTGCTAATGAATAGGACAGTGTTTCCTATTTGAACTATAATCAGATTTATTTAAATTAACTGTGTGTCACAAGGAAGATCATCTCTTTTTCCACATAACCAGGCATCTGTTTTTTTTTTTGTTTTGCTTTACAGCCTGAAGTCTTGTGTAAAACAGAGATTTAAGCGGCTTCACTTTAACACGTGCAGTTTAAACGCCCACTCCTGCAGCCACGTGCAGCTGATCTGTACATGAAACACACGGCTGCTTATATAAGACTGTAAACTCATTCAGCTGTAGAGAGCAGCAGGTTAAAACATTAAAATTCTGTTAATTATTAAATGTGATTTTGGTGTGTGTGTATGTGTGTATGTGAATGTTTCACAGGAAAACTTTATTATGTTGACAAGATTTACATGCGAAAAACAAGACCTGCTGCAGCCAAGACACAATTATATGTATATATATATATATATATACTTATAAA